GTGAAGGAATATCCCGTGGCGAAGGCGTCGGACACCCCTATGTGGGTGGAAGATGCGTCGACGTGGAGAATGGTGTTGATGTTGAAGGTAAAGGGAAACGGTTTCATCAATGCCTTTATCGCTGCTACCGCTTTTGGGTAAGCTTTAAGATAGTCGATGGGCGGTGGGTCTTCTGGGTTTAGCATAGTATCATAGTAAGGTGCAAATACCCTTGATAGTCCCGTGATTGAATATGTGTAGTGATTAAGGATCCCTAGCACTTCCAGTGCGACGTTACGCTCAATTATCATTGATTGTAGGGAATGTTTATATAGGATTAACTGACAGAACTTGAGGCGGGATCGGTTTTCTTTGTCGACTCTCGCAGTTTTGTTTGCAAAGTTAATGTCTATTCCGAGATAGGAGATCTTATTGGTGGGCGATAGGACGGATTTAGATTCATTGATCCTAAGTCCCCATGCCGATATCATGTCAAGGAGGGCGATTGTATCGTTGAAAACGTGTCGCTCGTCCGCATGGAAGACAATAATATCATCGAGGTACACTGAATAGTTAGCCTTTTTCACTGATTTAGCGCAAAGGTCTAACACGATGTTCTGCAACGCATATGGCGAGAATCCTGCCCCCATCGGGAGGGTCTTATTTTCCATAAGGTCCATCTTACCGGTGGATTCCATGGCAATGGCGTCTAATCTTATTTTGACCGCGTCTAATTCGGCTTTAAGTTGATTTCTTGCTGCGTCAGACATGGCTCTCGTATTATCCGAGGGTGCAGAATTGTTTCTGAGACGTCTGGTATTATTATCACCTTCAATTTTAGTCTTAGGTTCACAGGTTTCCACAAAATTTTTGGGATGGAACGGCGTATTGATCGTGTAATAATAAATTAGCAGAAAAATTCCACCATCATGTATGATTTGTTGCCTCCTCTTGTCAAGCCTAGCGTCGATTTTGCAGTGTCTATTAATCTGGATGAAAGGTCTGTCCAGATTTTTTCACTACTTGTGAGCAATTTATTGTTTCAATGTTTGCATTGATTGCAAAGGCATCTGTCATTGTTTTTAATTTGCCCCATTTGATGCATGGTTCCAGTTTTATCTTATTTTGAGTGGATTATTTGAGATTTGTAAATCCATGATTAGTAGCTTTGTTGCCGGCGATATCTTCTCCTGGGTGATTTGCAGTCTACACGTGTTCGATATCTTCTCCTGAGGATGAGCTTTGCAGTCTATCTACATCTTTTAATCTTCTGCGAGAGATTAGCATGTAATCTATCTGTGTTCCTTGCACGTGAGTACGCACTTTCGATAGGCTGTGTAGTATGATTGACAATGTCGTGTTTTCCTTCATCAGTCTATCGGTCCGTTGAGTTACTACGGCAGAGGTCTTGTGAGGCTATGCGCACAATTTCAGCTACGTGCTCTCATTCATCAATTTCTACCATCTCCAGTATCCAAATACGTCATCCATGATGTCTCTTTGTACAGCTATCATCTTGCTTTGCTCTAACATGCGCATTCTCTCGTCTTACCTTTAAGCGTCCAATATGCAACTAGAGTCATGTCTCTTTGGTTGACCTTCCTTATTTTCACAGCTGGAGGTCTACACGCTGCGCGTCGCATGGAGGGAACGCTCTATCTTTCATATTCGTCCTTGCAATTCGTTTGATTGGACAGGTAGCCTGAGCACCCGGCTGTCCAGGCCTGTCGATTGACCAATGCAGAGTTTTATCTTCATTAGTCTATCAGAGATCCTGTTGACTTCTACTACTGAAGAGGGTCTTGGCTGAGGATGATGCCGACACCGTTCCTATGTACAATGTCAAAAATATAATATAATTTACGTTATCAAATATTATGGGAATAAGAAATAATAATGTAAGATGTCTGCCTGAATACCTTCCAATGCCTAAGAGTGGTTCAGTTACACGCCACTAGAAAAAAAATGTTTAAAAGGATATTCGTCCATAAAAATCGTTCTCCATAAATTTTTATAGGTATTATTTTAATATTTTTTTCATACGTTATAGTAAGCGCAATCGCCCTTCTTTTCGCTATATGAAATATCAGAGGTATACTTTGACCCTCTCAGATCCCATCTAATTACGTTAAGTAATTTGGGGCAACTTAAGAGAGAAGCCCTATCACAGTTTAGCGCAAAAGGCAAAGTCACTTCACTTAAACGCTTATGAGAAATTCAAAATATAGCCTATGCCTTAAGGTATCGGCTACCTTAAAATTAATATATTATTATTATGAATGTCGTATGGAGTTGTCTGAAGCATAAATAGCAAGATTGATTATAAATTAATTTTAATATCTAACTTATATCACATTTTCAATTTCAAAGTGTATGGATGCGATTTTCGGAAATCCGATAAAATCCACTATTTAAAATTTTAACATTTTTTAAATATCTATTTTAATATTTGATTGATTTATAATTGAGTAAAAGAGTATTCGTCTTCTAAGAATATTCATCCCTCTTTCAATTTTTTTAAAATATTTTATTAATAGTTGACATAGTCTAATTAACATTTAGGTATCATGACGTGATAAGTGGGAAATGGTTTGCTATATCTATAATTATTTAAATAGAGCTAGTATTGTGGCTGCCTTGCCATGTTCAAGTAGAGGCTGAGGAGAATCATCACATTAATTGACGAAGGTGAGTGGAATCATCTGGAACTGACGAATTCATCAACACTAGTTTCTTTTTGTCAAGGAATATTAAAAAAGCGGATATTGTTTGTTGTATGTCTAATATTTTTATAAATATTTTCTTTTTAATCGAATTAATTTGGCTAAATGAAATTTCAATAACTAAAAATTTTCTATGAATTTTGTGCTTAATTTAGATTTAATTTGCATATGCTTTTCGATTTATATGATAAAAACATCCCAAAAAGAGCATTCGCTATGAGGAATCACATGACAGACTAACTTAAGAATTGCCTTATTTCGGTAAAGGTTTCTCTAATCCAGCTAAAAATTGTAAATTTTATCCTTTTGTTAAATAATTTTCTCATTCTATGTCATTACTCACAGGCTCAGATTCGATGTTATTATTTTATCTCTAAATTAAATAAAAACATAATAGCTGAACTTACTTCCTATATCTTGCATCCGATGGGTCTACTCATAAGGTCTCTTAAGGCGGGGTCGTATTTTCTCTATCAAAAGGATGAGAACTTTAATAACACTAGTGATAATTTACCCTTTCCTCGGTCATACATTCTTCCTTTGTTTATTACTTAAATTGTAGTTATTCTATACTAAAATATTTTGGTATACTATACATGAAAGTTCTGCAAACCTTTATAAAATGGGCGAGGGGGGTAGGAACAATTACTAAATGGTAAGATTTTAAAGAGAAGAGAAGTAAATAAATATTAACTTGTTGCTTTCAAATTATTTTCTTTATGAAGGCACTGGGGAACTCTGTATTTGCAGGTCAGTTAAGTTCGTCAAAATTTTGGATCTACTCTCAAAATTTAATTTGAACCAGTTGTCATCCATATTTTGATTGCCTCATATAGGTCATCATTTTTTTAAACTACGCTTCTATTCCTTTTTATAAACAAAATTTTAACATTTCTACCAGAAGTGGGGATATGACAAGGTCATTGAGATTGAAAGAAATAGTATTCATTTCCTTTTTTTGAATATTTGTTTAATGAATCTATGTTTAATATTTGATGATCATCTCTATCATAAATTCACGTATTCGGACAACATTTAACAATGCTAAATTTTATCAAACCATTTCATAAATTAAAACCTTTATTCACATAGCTGATGACTCTTTTAACCTTAAATTCACCAAGGATTGGTTTCAAAAAATAAATGGCGAACAGGAATCAAACAACCGACTTGTTGTTTCACTCTACATATATAAGTGTAACCTTCTAAATTATATCTGCTATTTCAAAATTGATATTGAAAAAAAAAAATTGTATATAAGACTTTATTGGACGTATTCCAGTTTTAAAGAACATATAAAAACATAAATCGCTCATTAATATTCCTCAATAGACTATTTTATCTCAATAATATCATATCAAGAAAATCTAGCAAATTTTATTAGGTGTGTATCCTAAATTACAATTTTTGTTTTCATTCTTATATAATTGTAGTGTTTTTCTTATTTAAACAAAATTAATATTTAATTTCAAATAAAAAAAAGATAAATATTAGTTATCTTCATCCGGGAGAAAATTATACTTTTCCTTTTTCATTTGTGTCAATAGTTAATATTAATTATTTTACCTTTATTAAGTCGTATAGATTCTTCTAACATTTCCAAATGAGGTTAATTTTTGGCTTTCGTTTTTTTCTTTGAATCAAGACAAAATTATTATAAGGCTATTAAAAAATTCTAATCTAAAAGGATAGATTTTATTCAATTTCAAGAAAATATATTAAATAATGACAAATATAAAATTAAAAAACTTTAAAGATAATGTTTTTGACAAACTTTAAGAATGTCCGCGTCTTACTAAACGGACAAAAAAATCTTATTTTTCTTGAGAAAAACGCTGAAAATATGCCTGATCATATAAAATAGTATATAAATATAAGAGCTGCAGAGGTATCATTTGCAATTTTTTTTGACTTGGTCCGAGTTTTATATTTTCAGTCCCAACCCCGATTTTTTAAAAATATATTATATTTATTTTTAATTTTTAGAGCCAATAATGGCAATTTAAAATATAAAGTCCGTCCCAGGTATTTTTTAAAATTTTTTTAGGCCTAGTCCAGGTATATATAAAAAAATCAAAATACGGCCTGGCCCCTATACCCGGACCTGTCGGTTTTTGATAAATGTACTACTTATCAAATTAGAAGTATTGAGGACTTTATGGTCAATAAATTAAAATATATTTTTAAGTGAAAATAATTTATTAAAATGTATTTTTTTTACTTTAAAGATCATCAATATAAACTATGAAATATTATTTTATTTATGACATTAATTCATTATATCACAATGCTAGAATAATAAGGTAGTATACATCTATCTGTAAATAAAATATACAAGCATATAAGAATTTAACTCAATAAAACAAATATTGATTAAAAAAATGAATGAATATAAAGGGTAATATTTTAAGATATATACAATTTTAGTTGATATAGCGTTTATCAAAATTAATTAAAAATGATAAAAATTGATTTTTCTAGCTAAAATCATTTTAGTAATATTTTCCTCCTCTTCTGTCATCTGGGCTTCGATCTCTTCTTCTCTCTTTATGATGAGATCTACTCCGTCTTTTCGATTTTGAAGAGCTTGGTTTAAAAAAAAAGAAATTATAATATATATATGTAAATACATAATCATCTGTTAGATCGATAGATGATTTATTAATTTTGGTTCGAATATGCCAGTGCTAGCTGGTGAAAAGATATAATATATAAAGAATTAATTTTAAAAAATTTAGTAAAACTAAAATAGAATTAATAAAAATAGAGTATCTAATAAGAATCAATTCAAATTAGTTTTATACAATATTTTTTTTAATAGTAAACTGTGGTGGCCTAAGCTCTTGCCACCTTTATCGATGTAAATTATCGGCGCATCTTTGATAATCTTAAGGATTATGCCGAAATTCTATAATCAATATAATTTAATTTAGTAATTTCTAATTGGACCAGTTTAGATCAATTTTAGTAATCAATGGCTATACAAGGGGTAAATAGGTTCAACCCTAAAAGGGTTTATTAAAGGGATGCCGCTAGATTTTTCGGTTAGCCAAGGGTAGTATAAACAATTTAGACGAAGCTCGACCCCCAAAAGCTTCTCCCAAGTAAGTCGCTGGCTTCAAAGCAAATTAACTTGGAATTTCAATTCATATAAAAAAAACTTACCTTCGCCTCCTCCTCCTTCCATATAAATCGCGTCTGAGTTCTCTGGAAATTGGTTTCAAGTGCATAAAATTACAAAATCCACCTCTAGTACATTCCCTTTATGAATTTATAAAAATTATAGATAAATTTTATTAATTATTATTTTTTTAAATGTCACCATAATCCTGTTGAAAATATAAAACAAATGAGAAAAATTCAGATCCCACATTTTGAAAAATACTAATTATACTAACAAAATACAGGTTATCGAGCAATGTCCCTCTTTTTAAATGAAATATATATTGTTTAATTGTATCATATTAATAAAAAAAGTATGTTTTTATAAATTAATTTTAAGATGATTTCAATATTAGGCCAACTTCAATATGACCAATAAGCTTTAGCCTAAAAAATTTATGTGAACATCTATGTTGTGCATTAGGAATAGTGTTGTTAAACGGCTCGTTTTGAGCCGATTTTTATAAACGGCTAACTCAATATTTCATCCAGAATAATATTACATAAGCCTGAAGATTTTGCTCATATAAGGAACAAAGGTAAAGACATATTATAGAAATTTTGAGGTTTAGGCAATATTTTTCTGAATGAAATATTGAGTTAGCTGTTTTTAAAAATCGGCTCAAAATGGGCCGTTTAAAAACACTACTTAGGAAGGGGATATAAGTGAAAACTTGGCTAAAGAATGCGATTTAAAAAAACACATACAAAGTATAAGATTGGTATCCAAAAATAAATTTAAACGCACTAGCATTGCTTTGTTGCCAAAAAATATAATAAAGTAGTAAATTACCCAATTTCGTATTGTCTACAACAAGCTTCCCTAAAATCGGTAACGGGTGATAACTCGGCATATATTGGTCTGGCATTAAACCATCTCCCATTAAGATCCAATTCCGCCTTTTCAGCATCCTCTTCTTTTCTAAACTATTTATAATACAAATGTATTTTTTTGTGAAGGGGAAGATTTAGAAGGGAACTGAAAAATTATAAAAAAAAGGTTCCCCATTGTAAATTGCTAAAAATTAGTAATATTTCTTATGGTATAAAATACTTTTCAATTGATTTTTAAAGACAAATTGCTAAAAATGGGAATAGAATTCTTAAATATTCCCAATTAAATAGTATCATACCAAAAAAATTGAAGAAATATCCTCTAATTTTATCAATTTTTATATAAACTAAGTTTCGAATAGCCTATATGGTCTAGGCATAATTTCAGCATCTAGTTTTTAAAACTTTGGAGATATTAGAGGTAAAAGCATGAAAATTGTCTTCTTCATTTAATTATCCCCTGATTAAACTTAATTTTTGTAAATAACACATTTAATATTAAAACAAAGTGTATTATACTCGATATTTAACGAAATTTTTTTAAAATATTTTAAAAATTTTTTTAAGATTTTATTGCCCATATACTTTAATCTCATACAGCAAAAATGTGTTTCTCCAATCATAATAAAATCTTATACAAGTGTTACTATTCTTTTTTTATTCTATAAGAACACAAAAAAAAATCAGATCAGCCTTTACAACGTTATAGGTAAAATAGTTTTTCTAACTCTATTAATATTACAAGATATAATATAAAATAGGTCATGTTTTTACTAGATTTGTCAATTTTACCTATGATCTCATCTCCATTTTTTTAATATTCACATAGAATGATAATAGTAATGTTTGCTTTAAATTTTATAGAAATTGGAATGACCCATTTATGAGGTTTTTAAATATTATTTTTCTGGGTAAAGTGTCAAAATTTTTATAAATACTATTTTTAAATTTATTTTCTAAAAATTATAAGGGTATATGCTTTATTCTGATATTAAATTAATTATTTAGTAGTTTTTAATCAATCATCAATAAAATGAAAACCAACAAAAGTAAAAAAAAATGGTGATTTAAGCTTTACCCTTGAAACCTGGAAATGAGTAAAAGCTTAATAACTTACATTTTGCCAAGGTATAAGGTAACATGCTCCTTAGTATGTATGTAAAAATCAAAAGGGGCCATCCATGAATCATGTTTTTTAATTTTGATATTTATATTTAAATTAAAAAAATAGAATGGATTGTAGATGTTTGATCATTTATAATTTTGAATAAATTTAAGATTTTATTAAATTATAAATTATTTAACATTTAAATATAAAAATTTACTTTGACATAAACATTTCCTACAAGATGCTCTCCAAGATTGTCACAAATATTCATTTCTTCAACTTCCCCATACTTTAAATTAAAAAAAAAAAATTAAGAAAATTTTTCAAATTATAATTTTTATATTTGCATTAAAAACATTAAATATAGCATCTAATTTAATTCCTTTTCTTATAGTAAGCATGTTTACTTTATCTTCTAACTCTGTAAAGACTTCTTCGAAGAATTCATCAAAGTGTTCTTGGGCTTCTACTTCACTCAAAGGATTTCCAACTAAAGAGATTATATTATTTAAATTAAAAAAATATATATTGATAATAAAAAAAAATGTTAAGTAATATTAAATTATTTTTTATTTATTACAGTAAAAGTAAACTTATAATAAAGCTTCTAAAAAATGATAATTTTTGTTTGAAAAAAAATTGAAGCATAAAAAAAATTAATTACTATTTCCAGGGTTAATTGATGCTGCATGCTGTGGATTTAGATAAAGGTTTGTCATCAATACAGTCTAGAACAATAAATATAATAATGAATTAACAAAATAATACTACCTGGCTAAATGTAGGTTTATTATGAATTCTTGAACATTTATCACCATGCCGACATGCTCCAATTTTAAAATAAAAGGAACAATTTACTCTAAATAATATATTAAATATTAATACAGAGAAATAAAAAAAACTTGTCCTTTTCAGTTCCAAAAATCGAAGCGAGATATTCAGCCATTGGATAGATGTAAGAAATATTTTAATCCGTTGTTTCTAAACATTTTCCATTAAAAGATTAGTTTTAAATCTTATTTTGATATTTATATAATCTGAGGAGTGTCCCAAAAAATTAAATAATAAATTATTTTTTATTTCCAGAGATTGTTTAGAAATATACATATTAAGTTATTTTTTTAAAAAATAAATTATAATTTAATTACTATCGTCATCCTAGGCATAAAATAAAATTTGTGTGGTTAGATTTTGTCATGAAATTGACACGGACATACTATCAAAGAATTTAATACAAATATTATTAACATTAATATGAAAAAAGTAAAATAAAATTATATCAAATGCCTAATTGTCTAAAAATAGATACAGATATCTTTAAAAATGTATTTAGTTAACGATACTTTTTATATAAGCCTGCAGAAATCACATTTTTATATCTATGAACTTTATAAAGAGAATAAATTTGCAAAATGTGCAACACTAAATTCCGAGAAATCAAATTTTATAGTCATATAACATATTCTTGATTCTGTCTTGGAAATAAAAGCATCTAATATCTTTTTTGGAGACTTATTTGTATTAATAGGTAATTTATATTGAAATAATGATGTTCAGCCTATAACGTTATTTTTTTATTTTATGTTTTTCAAATTATTAGATAGTGTCGTAATTAATCCTTATATACAATATTTTTAATAGAAATAGATAGTCATGTCGGTTATGATATGTCTATAATGATTTCCTTCTAATTTGGTTGTTGTTTAGCAAGTTATATGATGTCTACCTTCAATTATTTTAGCATGCACAGATGTCATTTTATTCAATTGGGACTTTCAAAATTTACAACAAACATCGTAATAAGCCGACTTATAAAATATTTCTATATTTAGCCCTTTATACCTTTTTAATAATATTCTTAAGTATGAATATATCATATGATAAATATATTATATTATTTTTTAGGTAATAGATGGAATCATTACCAATATGAAAAAAAACAATATAAAAATTTACCATTAATATTTTTAATAACTCCTACATATTATCGTCCTGGACAGATACCAGAATTAATTCGTTTAAATCAAACATTAAAAGATGTCAAAGAAATTCATTGGATTTTAGTAGAAGATTCTGAGCATAAAACAAATTTGGTTGTGACATTTTTGAAGTCAATCAAGATAAAATATACTCATCTTAATGTAAAAACACCAGCGGATCAAAAGGTTCCGGTAATAATTTGAATTTTAAATTAAATTTTATTATATTATATTGCTAGCTAGATAATCCTAAATTACATTGGATTCATCCACGGGGTGTATTACAAAGAAATTTAGGCCTAAAATGGATAAAACATAATTATACTAATAAGCTTGGTTCAGATATTATATACTTTATGGATGATGACAATACTTATACACCTCAACTTTTTGAAGAGGTTAAATTTAGTGAAATTGATAAAAGAAATGGCTAATTATATTTCATTTCATAATAATTTTAATCAAAAATCTTGATTATTTAAACTTTAACCTATTAATATTTAGGCAGTTGCTGCCCCTAAAAATGGGGTAAGTAGTAAAATTCTACGTACCCCCATAATGGGGTAAATAGAAAAATTCTACCTATTCCAATAATGGGGTAAATAATAATTTATGAGGGTAAATAGATAAATTTAATAAACAATCTGTGTTGCAAATATAATTTTTGGAGGTAAATAGAAATATTTAAACGTCTCTTTTAACTTAATCTATGATGCTAATATAATTTTTAGGGGTAAATAGAAATATTTTCTCTTTTAACTTAATCTGTGATGCTAATAAAAAAAATTTTTTTTTTTGGGGGGGGGGGGGTAAATAGAAATATTTAAATACTCTTAACTTAATATATGATGCTAAAAGATTTTAGGGGGTGGGGATAAATAGAAAAATAATTATTATGTAAAACCATCATAAATTACTATGTCAAACAGTCATTTTTATTTCAAAAATAAAAAAAAACAAATGAAATTATTAAATAAATTAACAGAGCGAGTTAAATTATAAACATAAAAATATAAATTGTATAAATAAATCTAGCGACATGTCATACAAAAAAAACATTTCTTTCCTAGGTTTTTTTAAAATATTTACACAGCGAAAATGATACCAATTAAGACACATGTCACACATCACTGATAAAGCATCATTTAACAGGATATGACATCCATGGCATAGCCATGGTTCTTTAAGTATAGTTTTATATAAAATTTGAAGTTTTCCCAGGCATCCATTGTAAAATGAATCGAGGGATTGTTGGTGTTTAGGGCAAGACTACTTCCTTTTCTTGCCCCTGGTGAAAGCCGGATCCTTTCTCTCTGGTCTCCTGTAGGTAAGTAGAGGGGCCATAGCCCCTGTTGCGAAAGGGCCAACTTTTGCGGTAGACTTTTATCTCTTCTCCTCCAATGAACTTTTCTTGGTAGGACGCATCGTTGTTTATAGCTGTCTGCCAGTTCCAGTGGATGGCTAGCGCTAGGACGCGTATCCACTTCGTCATTTCCTCCATTAGCCTGGTGTCGGAGCTTTCGTTGATGATTTCCAGCACATTGGCTATGTCCTTTATCTCATGACGGTCCTGGATGCTGGCTTTGCATTTTGGCTCAAGGAGGTCTTGTTGGAGTCCCGCCCACACTTTGCGCATTTTAGCGTACTTTTCTGCAGGTGTGATGGGTATGATCGAGACGAGCGGTGGTGATTTGTGGTGGGTGAGAGGGGGGTTGGTGCTTGTCCTTGTCAAAGCAGGGTTGAAGTATGCGGAGACGGTGATCGACGTCTCCTTACGTTGCTTTCTCTTGTTTCCGCCATTTGCGTGGTAATAGCTTGCAATGCTGTCACGATTGCAGCGATAGTAGGATCACTGGCCTGTCCTTCCAAGGAGTTATTGGGCGTAACTCCTGGTGTGGGACAAAAGGTGCGTATGACACTGGTTGTGTAGTGGACGAGTCATTTGTGACGTAGTAAATTTTGAATATAGCCAAATATAAAAAGAAAAACAAACCTATTAGCATTCAGTACTTTAGGTTTTGTTGTTGTTGAGAGTTCCACATGAAAATTAACATTTCAAATATTTTAAAATTAACTTTTTGAGAATAAAACACAAAATACACTTATAATTTTTTATGAATAGTAAAATATTTTGTGGGATTTATTCAAATATAGATGGTAAATAAAATCAATATAAATTTTGGATCAGTATTGTATAGGCTTTGTAGTAATATCAGAACAAAATTTGAGGGTTGGCAAGCCCAACTCTTTATTTTCCAAGTAGTTATCAACTTACCAATAAAATAACATGAATATTTAATTAAGTAGGATTTCCTATTTTCTCCTTATTCAGCTGATCCTTGAAGTTTGGTAATTCCAATACTAATCTAATCATATTATATTTAACATTCTTATATATTTATACCTGGAAACAGTAACTGATAAATGTTCCATAACAATGAAACTTTTTTTATGGTAGTCCAGGATTTCTCCAAACCTTTTGGTTATTTCATCGTTCCATATCCTAAAAATATTATTATATCATTTAATAACAATTATTCTTACAATTTAGAAGAATTATATCACTTCAAAATTTAAAAAGTTTTAAAAAACGCAAGCAAGTTTGTCTTTTAAAAAATAATTTAAAATGAAAAATGGAAATGTTTTCAATTCGAACGAATGCATTTAAAATGCATTGTTCGTGTTTTTGAAACGCTGCGTTGCAACGTTCAATTTGTGCGCACTATTAGGTTTCTTTTCTGAAAAAAATATAAAAATATGTTATAAAAATAATTTACTGAGAAGATTATTAGCATTACCTATCTCATGTGGAGAGGCTGTCGATTCATAGGGAGGATCAGAGAGGACATTTCTATATTAAACTTTGGAAATCTGTACCATCCATAGTTGGGAAATTATTTTAAATTTATCATATTGGGATATAAATAAAAGGATGAGGGATATATTGGCTTTTATTATATCTGATTGCTTTCAAAAAATAAATGGTTTACCTTTAAACTATGGAAATCTGTACCATACATAGTTGGAAAATTATTTTAAATTTGTCATATTGAGATATATATAGTTTACCTTTTTAATAACAGATTTAGTAATTTCTATATTAGCAATTTGCACACCAAAGTTAAGAATCTACTTTATGATAAATAGAAAAATTTACTATTCAAATTTATAAATAAATCATTTTTTAAAAATGGCGTCAAAATATGAAAAGATAGAATACGTTGGACAACGTGATCTATCACTAATACAAAAATGGGGACATTTTTTTCAGAAAAGAAACCTACAGCTTATGCTTCACTCACCGATATGGAAAAATCTTTGTGGATTATTAAAAAAGTATGTAAATCTAACGCAATAGAGAAGATTGGAAACAACATATTAGTATGCAGTGATACATGATAAAACAACAAACGATATGCGATGTCTAGAAAATAATGATATAGATATCGATATTTTGGAAATCCATTTTACAATGGATGCCGAAAACCTTCAAATTTTATTACTTAAAGAATCATGGCTATGCTATGGATGTCATATCCTGTTAAATGATGATTTATCAGTCATGTGCGACATGTGTCTTAATTGGTATCATTTTCGCTGTGTAAATACTTTAAAAATAACCTAGGAAAAAAATGTTTTTTTTTGTATGACATGTCGCTAGATTTATTTACACAATGTACATTTTTAATTTTAACTCATTATGTTAAGTTATTTAATGATTTCATTTGTTTTTTTTTTATATTTGAAATAAAAATGACCATTTGACATGATAATTTATGATGGTTTTACATAATTGTTATTTTTCTATTTACCCTTATAAAATTTTATTAGCATCATAGATTAAGTCTATTAATATCTATTTACCCCCATAAATTCTTATTCACCCCATTTTTGGGGGCAAGCAGCCACTGCCAAATATTTATTGGGTCATTCCTAGAGAAATCAAACACCTATAGCTAATCCCTTGCAATTTTAAATCCAAAAGATATTTTTGCTCATTAGGGATTAAAGCTATAAAGATTATGAGTTTTACCCTTTGCTTATGTTAAATAATTAGTTTTAAATTAAAAATTTAGTTCAAATGATAAATCTAATATTAATAGGGCTGGCCAATATTAAATACCAGATCAGATTGGCACTGATATTTTATCATGAATTTTAAAAAAAAAAAATCAAACAACAGATGAGATACACAAAGCTTGTTTCTGTTTGGCCCGTTGGTCTGGTAGGTGGTCTTTTGGTAGAAAAGCCTTTGGTTAATCCTGAAACACGAACTATCACTGGCTTTAATTCTCTTTGGGGATTGACCCGAACATTTAAGTTAGATATGGCAGCCTTCGCTATAAATGCTAAACAAGTTTATGAGAACCCTGCAATAGCAATATTCGATATAATGTCCCAAGTAGGATACATGGAAAATGACTTTTTGATAAAACTGGGAATAACCTTAAATGATTTGGAGCCCAAAGCCGAGTTATGCACTAAAGTTTGTTTTATTTACGGATTTATTTTTTAGATTATCGGAAGATCTAGAGATCGGTATGACCTGGATCTTAAAGGTTTGTATTTATAAATTGCTGATGAATACCGTCAGGCAGCAATGCTGTGTAGATCTATCATCTGATTATCAAATTCGAAACCTGTACTATTATTCAATATCGGTTTGACTGGTTTAAACTGGTTCATAAAAAAATATCACTGGTTTAAGAAACCTCTAAAATTGGTTTGAACTTTTTCGCGCACCAACGTTTTTAGAAATATGTACTCATATCATTGAGAACCAGTCATAGATATACTGTACTAGTAAAAAAAATAGTTATCTTTCGCGAATCTAAGATGGCTATCTTGGGTTTTATTAATTATCAGGGCCGAAACGGCCTTAAAGGATTTGAAATCTCTAACAATTAAAATTCAAGACCTCATAATTGTTTCGGATAAAAAAAAATAGACAGCAGGCGTGGATACTCTTAATAATTATTCTCATTAGTGAAGATCAACCATGACAGGTTCAACCCGCTTCACAATCGGGAAATATAAAAAAAAAGATCTGGACTGATTTTGGCTGATAAAAATTTCTGGGTTGTCTGAATCGATCTTGGTTGACTTTCACTAATCACGTGATTTTTAAAAAAAAAAATAATTGCCTTATAAAATCATTAATAGAATTAGCTTTGTAGAACCTAGACAGGGTCATTCCACTTGAAATCGATCAGCTTGCGTGGTGGACATTTTTCAAATGGAAGGAAACTCTGTATTATGATTATATATGTTGTAAGGACCTTTGCAATTTTATTTTTTAAGCACATACTTAATTGGTTCTGGAGAATATGGCGGGTCAAGACTAAAAAAATGGCCTCCTTCCTAATTCAAGAAAACTGATAAAAATAAAGATTACTGAAAAAATATAAGTGATAGAGGTCTATATTTGACATGCCCTTGAATCCCTTTCTTAAAAATATTTTAATTTATAAAAAAATAAATTTAACACATTTTAACTTGCTCACCTATATATATTCATTTATTCCTTTTATATGTAGGGTATTATTAGAAAATCAGTAGTGACAAATCGTTTTCCCAAAGGATATTGCGATCCTAAAGCTCTATTTTGGATAAAGTATTCTGTCTCTTTTGTATCATGTTTGGAAATCACCAAGCAAGCATGCAATGTACTCAAAAAAGTGCAGATAGCAGAAATAATTCAGTGCGGGATATGGAGAAACATGAAACATTCCCTGTTCATGCAGATTGCGAATATGCACATATGGCATGAATGACCACATTTTATTCAACCGAGAGGACATTATAACCCAAAATCGTTATATTATCCACAATATAATTGATGCTATCGGGTATTTAATAGGGGGCAATGTTGCTTTTTTGGGGAAGCGATTCTCATGATGGTAATTTTTCAAAACTTGTAAGATTGATCTCATAAAATGTTCTAGTATTAAGGGCATATCCAGAGAAAAATAGTACTTCACGAGGAAAAAATGGTGATAAAATATCGTGGCCACATATAAATTTCATATCCTATAGCCAGGTAATTGAATCAAATAATTAAACAAATTATTTTAAATCGTGCTTTTACTTTAATATTAGATAGCACGTATGATATTTCAAAAAAAAAAATGTGTTACCTTAATTATAAGGTATATTCAAGATTATCCACACACACATCCAGTAGAAAAAATCCTTAATATTTTTACAACCTTCTGATTAGAGATCTGCAAAGTTAGGCCCGGCCCAAACGGGCTTCGTGCCTAATTTTATTTTAAATATCGGGTTGGTCCGGGCTTAATATTTTTAAAAAAAATCGGGCCAGGTCGGGTCGGACCTTGGAATTTTTTTTAAATATATCAATTTTATATTGAATTTTTTATGTAAAATAAAAATATTTGATTTTATTTATTGAAACTAAACGACATATAACATATGTCTTTTATTATGAGTAATTATAAAAATTAATTTATATATTTAAATAAATTCGGGCCGGGTCGGTAAATTTTTTAAAAAAAAATTCGGGTTCAGGCCGGGCCGGCAAAACTTTTTTAAAAAAAATTTTGGGCCGGGCTTTAAAAATTAATCCCGATGCAGATCACTACTTCTGATATAACAGGAGAACATATTAATAATGATCTTCTGACTAAATTAAAAAGCATTACATCTTCTACTAGAATACCTGAATGCCCTAAGTATGGATGGTGCCAGTAATATGAGAGGTGTTAATAAGAGAACACAGGCTTTAATTTTAAAAGAGGCTCCTAGAGCGATTTATGTGTGGTGCTATGCTCATAGGCTGAATTTAATTGTTACTCGTATATGTGGATATGGAAAATAAAATTTACAAGACAATGGGAATTTTAGATGAGCTTAATAATTTTATGAATGGAGTTAAATGCCAGGGTGTTTTTATGAAATTTCAAATGCAAAAAAAAAACCAAGAAATCTCTCAAAAGAATAAAAAAAACACATCAAGGTAAATAAATATAATTTTTCAAAGAAATTTATTTATTTTCAGAAATTGGGCCCCATCTTTCAAAGTGTTAGAAATTTGTTAAAATTTTTTATGAATATATTATTGCCTCTTTGAATGAGCTAAGCAATTTTGATGACCCAATCACATCTTCAATTGCCGAAGGATTGTTATCAAGAATAAAACAAAAAAATTTTATTTTAAGTTAATTTATTCTGAGAACATTTTTAAAATGCACACATGAAACCTGCATTTAAATGCAGGCTATAGGAAATAATTTAGTTATGGTGAGTAAACTGATTCAACATACAAAAAATAAATTCAAAGATTAAGGGGTAAATTATTATACATGTATTTAAATTATATTTAGTAATTAATTAAGCAAATTGTGATAATATATTTTCAAAATAGCATAATAATCTTAAATACTTTAAGGATGGAAATAATATTCTAACAAATATTTATAATATTAAGTCAATATTTAAACTGGATTAAACACAGTTTGATAATTATATTGTACAACCAAAAGATAAGGTAAGAAAAGTTGATTTTAAAAATAATATTTAATTTTTTACATATCAAAATGAAAGATTTAATTATGAATCACTAAATTTTTTAAATCAGATTTCTATTTTTACTCCTGCCAGATTAGTAGACAATGAGAGTATAGAAATTTCCCAGATATCTGAAATTGCCTGTTTATACAGTTTTGATGCACAGAGAATTGTAGATAAATTTTCCAATTTTAGAATACTTAGATTCCTTATCTAATATTTAAAGTTAAGATCAAATGAATATTAGAAAAAATGGTACCTTATATGATGAAAGTTATTAATTTTTTAAAAGCTTAATTTTTAATATTTGTTTACAGATGAAAACATAAAGATAGCCAAAAGACGGCTAAAATATTTATTTATTCTGCCATAGAGACTATTAATTAAATTCAATTCCTTTCCCTTATCTAAAAACATTATATAAATATCTTATAATTCTACCAACTACCTCATGCTCTGCTGAAAGAGCTATGAGTAAAGTCAAAATTGTTAAAAATAATTCCCTGTTTTCTATATATTACTATTTCTATAAATGTTTATACAAGTATATAATAATAAATAATATGTGGCAATTATTTGTTACAGGTAGAGGAACCTTATGTCTGGGCCATTATAATTAATAATGCTTTATATCCAAGAATCATCTCAAATTCCAATCTCTTGGAAAACGTCAAAACAAAATAACACTAAAAAAAACCGCTGAATCCAGTTCCTAACCTGTATAATAAATAAGATATTCAGACCACAATTTGATACACGATTCCTCCGTCTACATGACAGGATAGTCACTTGATGCAACTCCCCCCCCCCCCACTCGGACACCTTGGGCATCGATATTACCACCTTATTAATTATAATGGTTTTAAATATAAGGTTGCTAGCTGTATTAAACAATTGCCACATATTATTTATTATTATATACTTGTATCAACATTTATAGAAATAGTAATATATAGAAAACAGGGAATTTATAAAGAATATTAAAGCTATCTGCACCTTTTTGAGTCCATTGCATGTTTGCTTGGTGACTTCCAAACATAATACAAAAGATACAGAATACTTTATCCAAAATAGAGTTATAAGTTAGCCATTTCCTTTGGGATATCATTATTGATTTTTTTATAATATGCATCATTCATGCTCCTACTACAAAAGCTATAAATGAATATATATATAATTTTTTTCATTTTTATATTACAAGCAATGATTATGATGAAAAAGAAATTTGAATAGCGTAAAGCTATAATCGACATGCATAAGATACATCCGGTTATTCCACTAGGTCTTAAGAATTATTGAAACAAAAAAATATTTTTAAACGCATAAAGACGGTAAGGTAGAAAAATTACTTAAACGAAATTTAGAATAAATGATATTATTGGCTATTAAAGGATCTCTAAAATGTGCCAAATATTTATGCCCGATTCGGTTGGTATTTCACTTTTTCCTGGCTCGGCCTAGCCATTTTTAGAAAATTTTATGCTCAAATACATTTTTTCTAAAATGAAAAAAAAAAACATCCGAGATTTTGTTAAGAAAAAAAAATTGAATAATTTTTAATAAACTAAATTTAAGATCTTATCTGATAATAGTAGATAGATAGGCCTCTCTCATTTATAATCTTTTGAGTATAATCTTTATTTTGTTTTTACATGGTGGACGCCATTTTTTAAATGTGGCTCTCCACATCTCCGGAGTTAATTTTAATTTAGTTAGAGCCGGGGATGCGAACCGAAACCCGGATTCGGGAAATTTAAAATTGTTTGGTTTGGACGGTCGAAACCGCTGAACAAACAGAGACCGATTTAAGGACAACTCATTAAACTCGGGGTAAAATGGACCTGAGGCAGGTTCGGACCCCTCTCTTAGGAAATCGGTTTCGATCAAGTTCCTGTTATCAAAATTTCCATTGGAAATTTAAAATTGTTTGGTTTGGACGGTCGAAACCGCTGAACAAACAGAGACCGATTTAAGGACAACTCATTAAACTCGGGGTAAAATGGACCTGAGGCAGGTTCGGACCCCTCTCTTAGGAAATCGGTTTCGATCAAGTTCCTGTTATCGAAATTTCCATTAAATGGAATTTAAAATTCATAAAAAAAAATTAAATTGAATAAGTCTTAATACATAATCATGCAAAGTTTCATTCAAGGTCTACGAAAATTTCCTCTTTTTTAGATCGATTTATTGTGAAATGTCCCGACGTAGTTTTGTGATTATCTTTTGAAATTACATTCACAACTAGGGTCTCTTATATATAAGCGAAAATGCACTATAATATAGTGCATTCAAAATTTGCCGCCTACCGTAGATTACATCCCCAGCTTGCGTGATGCGTAAAACACCTTTTTTTCGGTTATCGTGTACAAATCAATTTTCTTATACGAACTCGTAATTATTAGTTCGCGTGGGAAGATACATATATCGTCGGTCTAGAATTGGAGTGCTCCACTTGCGCGAATGTTTAAAATGATAAAAATCAACATTAAAGTTTAAAATAATATATATAGGAAAAAGTTATTGATCAATTTTGGACAATAACTTTGGCAAAAAAATTAATGATTTTTAATATAGTTTTTTATTTTTATATATATTGGGAATAAATAAGTTATTACCCACTTCTAACTCGAAAATTTTTCAAAATGTCGAGTGGAGTTGGAGCATTCCAATTATCCCGACCATATGTTAACATTATTTTTAAATGAGAATATGAGACTCGAACTAAATAGGGGTTTCGACTCTCACTTTTAATCCGATTCTAAAACTTGACGTAGATCATCTTCATGATTTCCATTTACGGTTCTCTAAAAAAAAAAATTTTTTTTACCAATGACCAAACCTTTATGTATACACTTAAGAAGTTACTTCCACCGGGAATTTCAAAATGATTTTCTGACTGATTCCTATAAATTATAAAAGAGGATATCGGTTCCCAGGTTCTAAGTTTTGGCCCCTGTTTCTAAACACTGATTTAAAATGATAAAATCTTCATTTACGGCCGAGCATAGGTTGTGACTTAGCTAACTAGCACTCCTTAAACTGGTTTAGTTTTTAGGGTTTCTTTTAACAGTGATTTCTATTTAGACTTTGGGAATTTTGGTTTTTTTATAATTTTCCCAGCTTTATTTTGAGTTTTGATATTTTTTCTATTTTAAATTTTTTTTCCTCCTTTTTATTTTTTTTTTAATGAATTTACTAAAGAAATCTTAAAAAAACGAGGCTAATGTTTTATTTCATTTGTTCTCATATATATATATATAATATCTTTTACAACAATAAACTAGTGTTGTTAACCGGATCGAGTTGAGTCGAAATAAACTAGTGTTGTTAACCGGATCGAGTTGAGTCGATTTTTAAAATCGGCTAACTCGGTATTTTATCCGGAAAAATATTACGCAAGCCTAAAGATTTTGCTCGTAGATGGCACATACTATCGAACATCTATTGGCGGAATCTCGACGCTTAGCCAATATTTTCCTGGCTATGTTGAGTTAGCCATTTTTAAAAATGGTGGTTTATATACTTTATTTTATTTTTTTTTTGATTTATCAAAACGTATTTTTCTAAAGGTATTGGTTTGGCACACCAAGTCTTGGCCCGCCAAATTGGATCAAGAGATCAAACTAAACAAACGAGGTTTGCGTTCCGACGAAGGGATGATATTGATTTGACACCAACAACAAAAAAATAATCCTATTATTAATTACAAAAATCGTTATTATTGTTATCGCGAGAAGCATAGAAAAACATAACGTTAACTTGCGGGGTTTTCTACTGAAAACTGCTTTTTTTTAAAAAAAAAATGATTTAGAGACATAACGTCGAGAATTTAAAGGTTAATTTCTCGGATTCGTCTTTTTTTTTGATTGGTTGGCTCTATCAGCATTGTTTTACGGATTTAATTTTACTCCAGCAACAAATTCATTGTCCATTTTTTTATTTTTGTCTTTTATTAAAGGGAAAACGCGTGATTTCGCTTGTATCATTATTTTTAAAGTTAGCCACCATCGAACAAATACGCACGCAATTAATTACTTATCAAATAATTATTCACGATTATTTGATTTATTATTTATTCCGCTTTGATGCTCAATTTCCTTTAGAAATTATCTCTCTTGTTTTTCAGGGGAACTTATTATCTGTTCGCAAATATTTGTATCGGTTAGGTACATTTTTAATTGTATACTAAGGGATTATTAATTAATATTTTATAAAATGTGATTATTTATGACGCATACTATATATCTTTAATATACCTTAAATTTATTAAATATGAGAAGACAATCGTGTTTTTTTTATTCGTACATTAAGTTGGTTGTTTATTACAGTAATATATAATTAATAAAATAAAGCAATTTGTTTTTTCTTATTTAAATACCTCAAATTAATCATACTGCGATACACAAATTGATAAATTCTTCGTCCCTTCCTATCGACAAAGGAGACAATCAATTCCTATTTAAATCTTTATGATAATGGGATATGACCGAGCCCTAACCTGTGAGATATTTATTAGAAAAGGTCGGAGCCACCATTCTTGACCTGATAACTTACGACGAATATAAGTGTTAGGGGACCATATTGTGGAACACGCTTCGATAAAACCTATATAGACTTATATTCGAATATCGTCATCTCCTTAAAGACAGATTTTTTTATTGATTCTTATCTAAATAACTATTTAGAGATCGTCGCAGCCCGCCAATACCCGGGAAAAAAGGCTATCTGGCTACAATAGGCCGAAAAATTGTTCGAAATATATTTTATGGGTCGAGTAAAAAATATTTACTGGCCGGGTCAAAAAATCTAATATAAAATTTCCACGTGCTAGGTCGACTTTTAATATTATTCAATAAATCGATTTTTTTAAAAAAAATATTTGGTTTTTTAATTTATCATATTCTACATTTACTTATAAAATTCGACCCTCTAATTACGCGAAAAAAAATATTACATATAGTAGAAATCTGATATAAGCGGCACGAAAAAGACCGGGTTGTAACCCTAACCAAAATTATTTTCAAAATTTAGGCTAACCTAAGACCAAGCTAAATTCGGATAACATATATAGCACAATTGATATAATTATTGTGGTCTTGATCACTACATGACTTTATTTAACTATATATAAAAAAAATATTGGTAAAAAAATGGTATCATAGTTAATTGTATTCATGAATGTTTTCCGACTAATGTTTCGCGTAACATAGGAAATTAAAGAGTTCAATCAGTAATATAACCTTAAAATAAAATAATACGCTCTTTTACCAATCGAATTCGTAATACTTTTATTTGATTAAATTTTTTTTTAAATCGGCGCCGATGATTGGCTCAACAAAGATTTATTTTCGCTGTTAACGCCATTTTCCACGAATTGAGACTCTTCGACGGCGGTGTTGACTATGAGCCTCTTTTTAACGCCATTTTCTTGGGAGGATAAGGCCATAGTTAGCGTTTGTCCCAGCTTCCATTTTTTATATTCTCCGTATAGCCACAGTCCTACGTAAAACAGGATGCATTTCACGACGAAAGCCCACAGGACCGTCAAGACGATATCCTTGGTGCTCATGGATTTGCCCTTTTTCGGGGGCTGGCTGGTGGTGATTGAGCAAGTGAAATTGAGGGAATGTAGCCCGAAAATTGATTTCCCTCTCAATTTGGGAGGATCGTTACATCTGTAAAAGAGAGGCGGGGGGAATAAATGTAGGCATCAGTTAAATATTTTAAGGATAAAATAAAAAACTTTAAAAAATTCAAAAAGGAATTTCGTCTTCAAGTTTTATTTAAAAGATTATTATGACTTATCTATTTCCAGTATGTTATTTTTGTAAAAGTATTCAAAAACCGAACCCATATTTAATAAAAAATGATAATACGAAAGATTAAATGATCAATATGTTATGTTTTGAGTTCAAATATATACATAACGGTCCTGATAGTTTTAAAACTGTTTTCAAAAAATCAATCAGGTATATTAATCTAACACTAGACTATTCATTTTTCAAAAGTGTTACATGGAAGTCAGCTATAGTCTATCTCATTGGCTATAAGTAGAAAACACACTTGTCTAAATGTCCTTTTAAAGGCTGACTTTAATATATGTAAACTTTTATTTAAATGTTATTAAAGGGCTCAATTTACCCAATTTTAAATTAAGATTTTAGTCAAAATAATATTACGCAAACCTCGAGATTATACGTTTCTGCCATCGTTATGCAAAATTTCTGGGCTTGATTATTTTAATTTATATATTATAAACTATTAAAATTATGTTTTTTTAGGCTGGAATTCATCTGTAAAAATTTCTTTTCAGGATTAAAAACATATGATTGATCATATGATTTTTTTTTATATATAAAAAATGTCCTAAGATAAAAAAAAAATATGGGTTAGCCGTTTAACAAACATTACACTTTGTAATGCATTTCAATGGTTGAATCACCAGTCTAGATTAGTATTAGTATAATTGCCTTTGGAAGGCGTCCCTGTCAAATAAAAAGATTTTGTAATCACTAGAAATAGAGTGCTATTTTGAATAAGTTTGCTACCAATATTACAATTTTACTAATTCTATGGGATCGATCTATTACTTAAAAGAAACATACAATGTTTAATTAATGAAGTATATAAGTTAGCGGCCAATCTGTTTTTTTCCGGTAATACGTTATTTTTTTTCAAATCGCGTTTTTTTTTCTAACTTTAATCTGATTTTACCCGAGAATGTATTCCAGCAGGTTTGCAATACCTATCTTATAAATTCCTTTGTGTCATTTATAATTTATACAAAAAAAAATATATGGAAAAACTAAATATAAATTCTATTCTGTTCAAAAGTTCATGGCAAAATTGTCTCTGAATATCGTAGGATAGTAAACGGCTCGTTTTGAGCCCATTTTAAAAAAACGGGTAACTCAGTATTATAGCCAGAAAAATATTGCCTAAGCCTCGAGATTCCTCTAATAGATGCCGAAACCTTTGTTCCTTCTACAGACAAAATCTTCAGGCTTTCGTAATATTATTCTGGATGAAATATTTAGTTAGCACAACACTAGGATAAAGTATTTTAAACATGATGGAATACATTTCCGGAAAAATCAGATTTGGAGTTATCTATTTCAATTTTTTCTTAAAAAGCAGCAGGTCTTTATCATAATATAATCAGCGTGACGCACTTTTAAAAAAAACTTACTGGCCGTCTACCGATTTATTTACGCTAAGGAAAAGGAAATTTTAAAAAAAAAACTAAATGGGAAAAATGTTAAAAGAAGTTATTAAATATAATTTATTTTTTTATTATTAAAATAGGTCTTTAAAAGATCAAACGGTAAACCATTTTTATAATACAAATAAAAAATTAATATATATATTTTTTTTAATGATATATAAAAGTTTTGAGTTACAAAAAAAAAGAAAAATGCGTAAAAATTTCGTTGGTATTATTATTTACTTAACATACATAATAGGGTTGAAAAAGTGTGCTTTGATATAAAAAATTTACGTTTTTTTTTCGTATATTATTGTAATAAAGAAATTTATGCTAAAAAAATGAAAGAGTTTAAAAAATTTTTATTATAACATTTATTTTTTAAAAATATTAAATCGAATTATGTATGATAACGACTTTTTAAATCATCAGATAAAACGTAAAAAAAAACTAAATATTGCACCGGGACCGATATCTCATCTTTTGGAAATATCGGTTATCAACCGATTTTATAAAATTTCCCGATCCGATCCGATAAAATAGCGTCTTAGTTTATAGAAAAAATTATTTCAAATTTCATAATATAATACTTATTATTATGTATATAGACAAATGTTATTTAATATAAATGAGCTGATTTATCATAAAAAATATTTTTAATATATCATGAATATATTTTAATGACTTATGTTATGGTATTATAGTTAAATTATAGATGTTATTTCTATTAAGGTATATGAGATGAGTGGAATTGTATGCATTAAAAAATTAAAACGATTATTACGTTTACAGAATATAAAATCAGTTATGATATCGGATCGGTAAATACCTAATTGGTATTTCCGGTTGCAATGATCTCTGGTATAAATCTGGCCATTAATATTCTCGTATTCGGCTAAAATTACTAAAAATGCCCAAACCTAAAAAAGTCTTGTGAGCAAAATGAAAATTATATCTAAAAATAGCGATAAAAGAGATTTAACATCTAAAAAAAAATTGTTTTTTTTTTGCCACTGTTAGATAGAATTTTGCCAGTACACGAGGGCCATTACCCCCCCCCCCCAATGACGCCATTGGGAGAATCGTTTTTTTTTATAATTAAGGAATTAATTTGGATCAAATTTATTAGACTACAAATCTTATATCCATGTAAATCTCCTTTGAAAATAATAAATCTTAAGTCCTTATAATTTTTAAACGTTCGTTAATTATTTTATATGGATAGTATATTTATCAGCCGTATTTTAATTTTTTTAAATATTCCCTAAGGGCAGACCCTGAAAATTTTTTTAAAAAAATATCCGGACCCCGAGCCCTATATTTTAAAACCAAGAAATCGCCATTATAATCTATAAAAATCAAAAATAAATAAAATACATTTTAAAAAATTCGGGCCGGGCTTGAAAATTTTAATTAAAAAAACCCGGGCCTACAAATGGTACCTCTGCAGATAGTGATCTGCATCGGGCCTAATTTTTCAGCCCGGCTTGGCCCGAAATATTTTTTAAAAAAGTTTTGCCGGCCCGAACCAAAAATTTATATTAAAAAAATTTACCGGCCAGGCCCGAATTTATTTAAATATAGAAATTAATTTTTATAATTACTTAATATGAAAGACATATGTTATATAGCGTTTAGTTTCAATAAATTAAATCAAACATTTTTATTTTACATAAAAAATTCAGTATAAAATTTATAAATTTAGATATATTTAATAAAATTTCCAAGGCCCGACCCCACCCGGCCCTAATTTTTTTTAAAACAAAAAAAATTTTCAACATGTATATAAAATTTAAAAAAATATTTTCAATTATGTATATAAAATTAAAAATGTCTCTTTTAAAAAAAAACCCATTGTTAGAGCCAAGGTGTGGAATATAATGAATCATTAAAATACGCCATAAAAAAAATATTTGAAAATGCAATTAAAATTTTTTTTTTTCTAAAAAAACAACTTTCGTACATAAAGTAAATATACCTTGTATTCAAAGCGTTATGGTTAGAGGTGAGATTTCTGATTCCTAACATCCACTCCAAGCTACAATTACATACCCACGGGTTTCCGCTAAGATCAACGGACCTAGCTTTGGCGAATGGCAAAACATTCGGGCTCAAAGTTGTTAAACGGTTGTCGCTCAAAACTATCTTTTCCCATGCGTGGTTAGCGTCCTTATTTAATGACTCAGTTCTAGGAAGAAGGGTATCTGCTACCATATCTTCATCGAGTCTGACTAAATGCGGATTGCGGCTTATGACGAGTGATTTCAGAGTAGCTTTCGATAAAAGAAAGCCCGGGGAAAAATAGCGCAGGTTGGTTAATTTATCCATAGTTAAATCTTTGAGATTAGTCAAAGTAGCATTATCTAAAAATTGATGCAGATCATTGGAGTCGATGGCATTCCCGCTGAGATCCAATCTTTCGATATTCGAATTAGTGCTAATCGAGGGTAAAATGGCTAACGAGTTATAACTCATATTAAGGTCGGTTAAATGAGGAGTGGATAGATTGAATAAGGTTAGCGGTACGGAGGTTAATTTCAACGAACTAATGTCGATGCGTTTTAAAAACTCGGAGAATTTGAACGTATCGGCTCCCACGCTGTGAATGGGGTTGTGATTTAACCTGATTTCCTCCAAAAACGGCATATTTTGGAATACCTGACCATCGATGGCTGTAATAGAATTGTGCGCCAAATTTAGGGATTTCAAAAACTTGAGGCCATCCAAGGCGCCTTGTTCTAGTTTAGGGATCTCGTTGAAACTCAGGTCTAACTCGTCCAAATAAATATTGCGCCCAAAACTGCCCGCCTCTAAAACGCTTATCCGATTGTGACTCAAACTGAGGATTCTGAGCCCGGTCAAACAAGCGAAATCGAATCGACCAATAGATGTCACGTTGTTATGACTGGCATCGTAATCGCTAAAATAATCCGTTCTACCGATAACCACCGAATTAGAATGGATAGATTTATTCACTTCAACACTGCAATTATCGAAATCCGGAATTTTCTTCAGCCCCCTCGCCCTGCAATTCACATCTGTGAGCAAACTACCGTCGCTCTGGCGAATGATAACCGATTGATGAGCGCCATCGTATGAGGAGCAACACGTGCATACGCTATTATCCCATTCACCGCACGGGACACACTTTTGCGATCCGCTAACTCGAACGCCTTTATCCAAGACCAAGATGAGCGATATAATGACGTAGTAAAATGACAATAAATTTCGTAATCGAAAGCCGCGGTAGTAAAAGTATTTGGTCGTAAATGTGAAGTGGCGAAAAGTTATTTGGTTTAGCATTGAAGAGTATCATATCACGATTTCCTAGCTAAGAAATCGGATTTTAAAGTTGAGCTTCATTCGATTTTCTAATTTTTTTTAAAAAAAAAGTAAGCTTGGGATTGCTTTTGATTGGTTGAATAGATTGGTTCATTTGATTAATCTGTTTGTTCTTTTTAAATTTTCTACAAGTTTGATATATGCCTTGCGCATGCCTAATAAAACTTTGACATCGTAAATGTCTTTAAAATTATGTTTTGTGAAAATATTCGATATCAAATTTTAAATTAAATAATTTTATTTTAAAAAAAAAACAATATTTTACAAATTTTATTTCAAAAATAATAAAAAAAATTTGAATACTTGAATATGAAATATCAGATTTTTTTGATTTTTACAAAAGAAATAAATAAATAAACAAAATAAAGAATACGCAAATAAAAAAGAGAAGAAAATAAACACTTTTTTATGTTTTTATTCCTAGAATTCGTAAAATTTTATTTTTTTAAAAAATTCTTTTCCATTTATTGATTCCCTTTTTTATCTTTTCTATTTCATTTATTTTTTTATATTTTTTTTAAATTAAAATACTTGATAATACATAAAAATTTGAATTTTCAATTTTTAAAAATGATATGATAAAATATGTAACTAAAACTTATTATTAAAGTAATTTAATTTTAATATAATATAATAAAATAATATATTTAAACAAATATAATAATTTTTAAATTCCCAACTCGTCTTCCTATCTTATATAATCTAATCGCTTCATTATTTAAATTAAAAATAAAATAATATCATAATCTTACAATCCACGACCTTATCTTATTAATTTAAATAAATAAGTAAATCTTAAATTCGTTAACTTTTATATATAATATGACGTTAATTATATTACTTATAAAATAATAAATCCTATTACATTTTTTTTAATGTATAATTATAAATATATTTTACATGATAAAGTAAAATTTTTATAATTTAATTTAATTTACCCTTCTATTGTAACTTATTTATAATAATTATAATAATAAAAATTTAAGCCTTACGAAGATTGGGATTTCAAAAAGTCGCAGGGAGATGGGACAATTATTTATTTTAATTTTAAAAGAGGTAAAAATTTTAAAGAAATTTAAAAAGTTTAAGAAGTTATCATTCTATATTACATTATCCTCATTCTCCATCATGTTTATACCATAATGTAAAATTAAATATGTAAAGTTAACAAATTTCAATCGAAGCGGAAAATATTTAAAACAATTATAATTTATAAGTGGAACGGATCACATCCATAATCCTTAATTAATCACTGTTTTCCTTTAACTTATAAAATTGCGGAATTTAATTTTTTTTATTTTTGTCAGCTGGGTATTATAGTGTTCTATCTATACCCATATGCATTTTTTTTAAATATAATTTAAGAACAATCCTATATTTGCTTTATTTATGGATTGTTTTCTTATCTAAAATACAAAAAGTTTTTTTTTAAAATGTTCTGAACTTTATAATATTCGGCAGACACGATTTTACAAATTAGTAATATATTGATAAGGGTAGCTAGGGACAGTTAATAACAAATCTTCCTTTCATAGTTCATAAGAGAACTATTATTTTATCATTTACCTATTATTTATGTATCAGCTGATGGATACTTAGCGAAAACCAGAGCGCCCGTTAGTCAGCTTTATGCCTTTCACTCCCAACCGCGTGAAGGTGGGAAATAAGTTTTAGGGGAGCACACTGGAAAAGAAAAGAAGGAAGAAAAATGTAAAAAGTAAATAGGAAAAGAAAAAAGAAACAAAGAAATGAAATAGAAAAATTAAAACTTAAAAAAAAATACACAAAATATACAAAAATCGGGACATGAAACTACAAAAGAAGAACTTCAACCAGGAGGTTAAACACTGATAATATGAGCTTAGAGGGCATTGAGTTTAGCACAAAATAAAAGTAAGGCCTTCAACCTCGAAACCACAAAATAAAAATAGGTCTGAGCAAACATAACAGAAAATAAATACAATTATTAATTTATTGATAGAATTGATATTCTAACAACGATAATACAATGGACAAGTTAAAGATTTCGAATAAATACTGCGGATAAATCTAAACTTGACATTTAAAAAGATTTGAACTCAAACATTGTATAAACTTAAATAATAATGATTAAAAAAAACTTCATTTTCCCTAAAATTTTTAGGAAGTAATATGTCCGGCGACGACTTAAGACTTAGCCTATCAGAAGCTTACATTCAGGGTATCGGCGGTTCACGGCAAACGCATTTGCGGCTCACTATATTCTAATATTCGAAAAAGGGCATAGCATATAATAAACTAATTTATTATTTTATTGATTGTGCTAAGATTCCAACGAATAGAATACAAATGGTGGACATGTTTTTCGAAATATAATTCCCCTTGGTAAAACTTGGCTTGACTTTAAAATATTGGAATTCATGCATTATATGGAGTTAATTAAGAAATTAAATTTAAAAACTTTATTTACCTACAATTCTAAAGGAGGTAACATGACTAACTTCGACTTACGACCGGCGTATCGGCGGCTCAAGGCTAGCACATTAGAGGATCGCGATCATTGCCTTGACGGCTCATTCTATCATTATCTAATATTCTGAGAAGACATAATAAACGATAAATAAATATATTATTTTATTGATGGAGCTAGGGATTCTACCGCTAGAAACACATATGTTGAACAAGTTGAAGATTTCTGAATAATTCCTTCCAATTAAACTATTACATTAAATAATTTGGAACTCACACAAGATTTATGATTAAATTTAAATTTGCCAAAGATTTTAAAGAGGTAAAATGGCAAGCGCCCCGACGACTCCATTTCATTAGGCGCTTTCGACCAGCGTATCAGATACTTATGACCAACATATTGGCGGCTCAAGGATAGTTGACGGGTCAACAGTTGCGCATTGGCGGCTCGTTATCTAATATTCTTAGAAGACTTAACAATAGAAAACTAGGATATTCTACTATAATTACCAGTTGAAACGTTATCATTTATATACATTCATAGTTTATAATCAATAAGATATAATAATTTTGTACATTTTAAGATATATTTTTACTAAATTTAAGATTTAAAATAATAATAATCAATTTTTAGAATTTTCTTTATTTTTTTTAAAATAATTATTTATTAAATTTCCTCCAAACATTTTTAAATTAAATTTACTCAATAAACCCTTTGTTAATTCCCGGCTCTTGACGAACAACGTAATATAGTATCCGTACCGGCTTCATTTGGCACAACTGTTTCTATAAATTCCGATGATTTCATGAGTTGGAATAATTGATAGCTAATTTCAGTGGCTTAGCTACGAGGGGGGGGGGAGGGGGGGGTCGTTTGGACCCCCCCCTTCCAGATCAAAATTTTTTATTAAACGTTTAAAAGACTCAGAAGTGACTTTATATCAAATAAATACCATTAATATTTATATATCATTTATAATTAAAGCAATTTATATCATTTATACTCAGCAATTTATATGTGTATTACTAATAGTTATAAAGTATATAATTTTTAATTAAGGCAATATAATATATATTTTAAATAATCGCTTTTATTTGTAAATTGATTGATATTTATAAAAGTAGAATAAATTGAGAAGTATATATATAAAGTTATGTCGAAATGTGTTATTTTAATTAAAATTAGTGTTGTTATTGGCTCATTTTGAGCCGATATGGCTAACTCAATATATTAGCCAGAAAATTATGTAAGCCTGAAAATTTTGCTCTTGAATGATACAAAGATTTAGACATTATTCGAGAATTTTCTAGGCTTAAGCAATATATTGGCTAAAATATTGAGTTAGCTTTTTATAAACTCGGCTCAAATCGAGCCGTTTAACAACACTAATTAAAATGATCAATAACTCTAGGACTTTTATATTATAAGAAAAATAAATATGATTTTTAAGATAAACCCGGCCGAAACCCGGGCAAAAAGCCGTTAAAGGGGGGTCTGGGAGGGGTGAAGCCCCCAGGCTACCCCTTTCTAAGGAAAATTCCTAGCTATGCCACTAGCTAATTTGCCTCTTTCCGCAACCTTCTCTTTCAAAGATGAATTGCCCTCTCTTGTACTTTCTTCAACATTTGGTATTCTCATTGTTTAACTAAATTGGTCGTGAAATCTCGAATTCTCTTTTTTTCTTATGTTAATTATGATTTTGACGTTGTCTGTTTTGCCTTTCCAATCTCATGTCTTATTTAGTCTTATTCAATCCAAACTGGCTTTCAGTTGTCTTCCAAAATAATCTTGGCAAGAGATTCCGCGTAGTGCTATTCTTCCCCAGTCTATAGGTTATCAAAATTTATGTCAAAGCCTCTTCCGGATCAGAAATGGACTCTCTCGTGTACGCTCAGCTAATCCGTTTGTTTTAGGATGATATGGTGGCGATCGTATATGGCGTTTATTATTCAATTCATAGTAACGAAGGAATTTGTCAGATATAAATTTTAGCCCATTGTCTGACATAATATACTTAGATATTCCAAACTTATCCAACCATATTTCATTCTCTGCTCAAGAACCTACCCCGATTAAACAATATCGCGAATCTACTGGTCTAGCAAAATTGATATGGATTTACTCCTAAGATTCTCAACCTATATTCCAAGAATACAGCGTTTATTACATTTTCAGCAGGATGTCGGCGATGACTTATTTATAGTAGTGCATTCCTTTAAGTGTATTATGATTTCACATATCACTCTACGATATTACAATCGACAGGTAACTCTTCCCATCGATTGTAAAAACTAACATTCTTTATTATGACGATCAAAACGTCAACTTTGCTAAATATGCCTTGCTATAATTTATAATGTTAAGTCTTGCTTCGACTTTTTATAAACTATATTCATAGAAACAAGTCATTCAATATCCCTCGAATATCCAAGATGTTGAGAATCTTGAATCTTTTCTACATCCGATTTCGGAAGCCTTGATAATACATCTGCTACATTTTTTCTTCCAGGCCTATATTATTGTGAAATTATAATAAGCCATTTTCTAGGCCCAACGAGTTAAACGATAATTAGAAATTTTAGGTAGATCTCATTTCTCCCCAAATAATTGCTCTAATGGTTTGTGATCAATTCGAAGTAAGAATGCTCTACCATAAATAATTGAATGAATTCAATTCCAAATAAAAGTGCTCGAGCTACTTTATCAATCTGAAT